AGAGTTGCTTAGAGAGTTCGTAGATAGATTTCAACGGGAAAGAATGACGCTGCCACGAGTACCTGATAATTGGGCAGCCATAGCCTTTGCTAGTAATTTGAATGAGAAGAGTTCAGAAGCCACGAGGCGACTCAAGGAAAGCCTTCGAGAATTCCCAGCAACAACGTGGAATGATGTCTACAACAGATACAGCACAAAGATGAGGATTGAAGAAGACATTATTTTACGACATAAAACAGAAGAAAAGGTAAGCTCAAGGCGTGTGGAAAACGAAAAGAGATCCGGTAAAAACAGGTACGAGCCATACATGGGTCCTGCGGGAAAGGACTCACGGTCAAGACAAGATAATCAAAGGTACGATCACAAACCTAGGAACAGGGAATCAGGCTCCTCATCAAGGTTCGGGAATGATCGAAACACACGCGAGTCACGAGACGATGATGGAAGTCTAAAGGCAAGGTTCGGTGGTTACAACTTCAACGTAAGTACCTCTGAACTCGTGGCTGTTTTAAGAAGCATGGGAGATAAGGTACGATGGCCAAAGGAAATGCGATCAAACCCAAACAGACGAAACCCTGATCATTGGTGCGAATTTCATAACGATCATGGGCATAAAACAGTAGACTGCAGGTTTCTACAAGGTAAAGTTGATCATTTGTTAAAACAAGGGTATCTTCCTGAGTTGTTCAGTGAGAAAGGTAAACAAGCATACATGAAGAACAGACATGAGCCTCCAAAACCACCTTCGCCCAAGAGAACTGTTAACGTTATAAGTGGAGGTGAAGAGATCAATGATGTATCATATAAAAAGGTTTCAAAAGTGATAATTACTCGCGGGAAGCGGCCTCGACATATACTGGAAGAGGAGAATGTTATATTCAACAACGCAGACGCCGAGGGACTCATAACTCCGCATAACGACGCACTGGTAATATCTTTACTTGTACATGATACTAACGTGAAACGAGTTTTGGTTGATCCAGGTAGTTCTGTAAACATTGTTTTAATACGGGTATTGCGCGAGATGGAATCGGAGGATAAATTAATCCCAAAGCCGCATACTTTGTCGAGATTTGATAACTCTAGTGTTGTAACAAAAGGGAGGCAATACTTACCACGTTCGCAGAAGGCGTCGTTAAAGATACCAAATTTCAAGTGGTAGATAGGAAATGGCTTACAATATGATTCTTGGGAGGCCATGGATTCATGACATGGAAGCTGTTCCTTCAACTTTACATCAAGTTATTAAATTCCCATCTCCATGGGGTATATGCCAAATCAGAGGCGATCAACAAACATCTAGAAGCATCAATTCCGTTGCAGATTCAACCGTTAAAGGTGAAGACAAATAGCAATTACAGAATTTAGGTGAGGGTAACATGGAAACAACCTCACCTGAGCAAAAGCAAATAGATCTGGATTCAAGACCTGATACCATTCAAGAACCGGAGGAGAATGAGAACATCAAAACAACGATAGAAGAGCTAGAGGCCGTGGTGTTATTTATACATTGGCCCGAGAGAAAAGTGTACATAGGAGCTAATCTTAGCCCGGAGGTAAAACGTAAGTTAATTGAATTTTTAAAAGCTAATGCAGACTGTTTTGCTTGGTCCCATACAGACATGACAGGTATACCACCGAAGGTGATGACTCATAAACTAAATGAAGATCCATCATATCCTCCCGTCAAGCAAAAGAAAAGAAAACAAGGAACTTTCAAAAATAAGGTGATTCAAGAGGAAGTTCAAAAGTTGCTAAAAATTGGTTCAATTCGTGAGGTAAAATATCCTAACTGGTTAGCTAATACTGTTGTGGTTCCTAAGAAGAACGGTAAGTGGCGAGTCTGTGTAGATTACACAGACCTTAATAAAGCCTGTCCAAAAGATTCCTTTCCTTTGCACCACATAGATCAGTTAATTGATGCTACTGCAGGGCATGAACTATTAAGTTTTTTAGATGCATATTCAGGCTATAATCAAATCAAGATGGATCCAGGTGATGAAGAAAAAACTTCTTTTATAACAGACAGGGGGACTTATTGTTACAAGGTAATGCCCTTCGGTCTTAAGAATGCAGGTGCAACGTATCAAAGGTTGGTCACCCAAATGTTTCAAGAACATTTAGGTAAAACCATGGAAGTATATATAGATGATATGCTAGTTAAAACTCAGCATTCAGAAGATCATATATCGCATTTATCTGAAACGTTTAAAATTTTACGAAAATATAATATGAAGTTGAATCCAGAAAAATGTGCATTTGGTGTGGCATCAGGAAAATTTTTAGGTTTTCTTGTTTCTAACCGTGGTATTGAAGTGAATCCTGCACAGATTAAGGCCATTGAAGAAATTCCAGATATACTTTCCAACAAGAAAGAGGTTCAAAGACTAACAGGAAGAATCACAGCTTTGGGAAGGTTCATTTCTAAATCATCGGAAAAATGTTTTAAATTCTTCTCGGCTCTGAAGAAGCAGGATCATTTTGAATGGGATGAGGAGTGTCAACAAGCACTTAGGGATTTGAAAACATACTTGTCAAATCCACCTTTGCTAGCAAAACCCAAGGCTGGGGAGAAACTTTTCATCTACCTTGCTGTTTCAGAAGTTGCGGTAAGCGCGGTTTTGGTACGAGAAGAGCAGGGTAAAAAATCTCCTATCTATTATGTTAGTAAATCTTTGTTAGATGCAGAGACACGGTATCCATAATTGGAAAAATTAGCACGCACTTGCTCTAATCATGGCATCTAGGAAGTTAAGGCCTTACTTTCAATGTCATCCCATTGTTGTAGTGACTGCATACCCCCTACGTAATATATTGCATAAACATGAATTGTCAGGGAGGTTAGCTAAATGGGCCATAGAGCTAAGTGAATATGAAATCACGTACTTACCTAGAACAGCAATAAAATCACAGATATTAGCTGATTTCGTCGCTGACTTTAGCCAAGGGATGCAACTAGAAGCAGAAAAAGAAGTACAAGTACTTAATGGTGCTAATCTAGGAACATGGATCTTATTTACTGATGGCTCATCTAATGTAAAGGGTGCAGGATTAGGAATTATTTTAGTACCACCTTCAGGTGAAACTATTAGGCAAGCCATTAAATGTCATTCCGTAACTAACAATGAAGCTGAGTACGAAGCTGTGATTGCAGGTTTAGAATTGGCACGAGAACTCGGTATAAATCAAGTAGTGATCAAAAGTGATTCGCAACTCGTGGTTAATCAAATGCTAGGGACCTATACAGCTAGGGAAGCAAGGATGCAGCAGTACTTAGAAAAGGTACGGGAACTGATAAAGCAATTCCAAACTTGGAAGGTCATACAGATATCGAGGGATGAAAATGTTGAAGCAGATGCCTTAGCTAATATCGCATCC